CTCAGCATTTTGATAAATACCCCCTTTCAGGGACCTTACTTGAACACTGAGTTTCACTTTCATGTCATCGTCAAGCAGTAGGTGCTTTCTTTCACACTGCTGTGTGTGTTGCAGTTACATACATTATAAGGAATTGTCTTTCGGTGGAATCTCATCTGATTAAATAATATAATAACATATCCCGAAATACACTTACAATACAGTCCAGTCATAAGCTGATCCAAACATTAAGCTCCATTAACCCAGAATACAAAAGTATCAATCAGCTCAGGGCAGAATTTTCTCTGTATAACGATGGTGGAGAATAATTTGTGACAGAACCCAAATATTAGTGCAAATAAATTGTACTTCCTGTATCTCCCTGGCAGACAATGAGTACATGTAATGTTGTCTATGTATTGAGTGACTCCCCAGAAAACATGTTGGGAAATAACTTGTGAAAGAGGATTTGCATTGGCAAAGACATTCACGAACTTAATAAATGAAGTTGTAACTTGGCAACGTTGTGTTTTCAGCGTGTTTCTTTTCCCCCAAGTGGCCAAACTAATTAAATAACTCCGCCAAAGAGATGGGATTGGTCTGGCTGGACTATCAAAAGTAGAGGTCGGGGCTGAAACTAAGGTAGGGCCTTTTAGCACCTCCCTTGAAGGTTCCTAGAATTCCTGTGAAATTAAAAATGACGGGGCAAAAATGCCTCTGATAATTAGAAGAAACCCTGCAGCCAACTGTAGACGGAACCAACACAAACACACACCACTGTGTTGATAAAACATACACAACACTGCATTTTTAAATGTACTTGTTGGATGATCTTTATCCTCTTAAGGGCCTTTTTAGCCGTGGGTGTAAAAGAAAAAGATGTAGAGTGACAGTGGGTTATTTAAAACATCGCTGGCCATGTTCTCATGTATGTGTGTGTATTTGTATGCTTTGATGTCAAAGTGTGTACATCTGTGTGCATGTGTGTGTGTGTGTGTGTGGTTGCACTTTCTGCACGAGCGTGCCCGTTTTGCCTGTGCGTGCTAATGAGTGTGAGGCAGGAGATTATGCGTGTGTCTCTAAGGGAACAGGGACTGTTCCCAGGAGCTGCAGTGCCAGAGCTGAGGGGGGTATGTGTACACCCTGACCCCAGCTTTCGGGGGTCCCGGTTGCCTGTCTGAAACCATTTCCCTTCTTTGTCGCCCATTAGAGAGACCAAAGTGTGACGCGCATGTGAACGGCCGAGTCCATTTGCATGGGTCCCGCAACACGCTGAAACAGAAAATAATCAGCGAGAGCCGCGTCTCTGGATGAGCTGGCAGGGCTGCCTTTAACTCTCTAATTCTGGGTCTCCCCCCCCACACACCTCTCCCCGTTACCGATGTCTCCCCAAGCGACTCCCAATATACTCCAGCCATCCCCCCCAAACAAACAAACTCTGAGCGCCGCGTGCATTGCTAATGATGGGAAACAATTATGGGCTCACAAAAGGGAGTGTCCCGCCCGCTTGGTGCAGTATTTACATAGTAGTTTGAGGTTAAACGCGCGGAGCCCGGGTTTCTGGTTGGTGCAAGAGGACTTACATAGACAGGCCGGCTGAAGAGATCTTTCTTTTGTCTTGCTTTGTAAAGAACGATGTTGGAAGTTAAACCCTTAAAGTAGAGTGAATTTCAATTAGGGTATCCTCGTGCACAATATACCCCTCAGACCTTGTTTCACCCATTCTACCCCCGGAAACAACCGGTGTCCGCGGTGGATTTGAAATAAAAATAATTATAAGTAAAGTGCATAATCTTCACATTCGAATTTTTCTGATGTTTTCTGCCCATTTCTTCGAAAATCTGTATCGTATATATTATTTCCCTCTGAAATATAACAGAGTAGAAGTAGAATCCGCATCGCTCACAAAAAAATGAATCACTTGTGTGAGCGAGTATTTAGAATTTTAAACATCTTTAGCTGTTGAACTCTTATTAATGACTATTGTGTAGACAAAAGAACTTCTCAGGTATCTCTTCAGTTTACAAAATCGACACGGTTTCATAAGGGACAATAAAAAAAACGTGCAGTTCGTGTCTTTTCTCCAATTATATACATGGCAGTTGCATCCAAAACAGATGATTTCAAATGCCGACTGAAACTCCCTTTCCTGGCTACTTGATGACTGTTTTGGGCAACTAAGAAGGTGGTAGAGAGTAGACACTTTGACGAAAGCGATATAAAGAAGGTGTTTCTCTGACTCTTGCGGCCGGGTCATATTCTTTCTGCTCATAGCATTGAGTCCTTTTATATTGACAGTAGATCCATGAACTGGTCCACACGTGTCATTCCAGAGGTATCGATTCCTGAAAAGTGGTGACTTTTTGACAGAAATGTCCCTCCCTAAAAGACAGAAATTCGGACTGACAGACACACACAGGTCCAAAATCACATTACACACTCAACAGTACCGTTAAACCCACTTATCACCCCATTTCCAATCCCCTGAAATCCATTTCCAGATTCCCAACCCAGCAGGTGCCAGCTGGAGCCTTGGCATGGCGGCGCCTTGGATAACGCTGTGCGTGGATGCCAGGCAAAGACTTCCAGCCCTCCCCAGGAAAGCCCCCTTGCCAACATGGCGCGTCCCGCTCAGCCATGGTCATTGTTTCAGCCTAACTAGATTAAGCTAATCGTGTTATGTGGCGGTGAGGCGTAGCCGGGGAACGGAATGATGGGTCGGCTGTGCTGCTGTTGCCATGTGGCTCAGAAATACAAACACTGAACCGTCAAATAGAGTTTGATAGACACCAGAGGCAATATTGGTCTGTTTACTTTCATAAACAACCAAATGAGCTCCCGAATTGTGGAGAACCACAGATTGGGAGAATATGTGATGCACTCATACAGTATGTTATTCAGAGCTCCGCCTGCAGATTCGGAATGCTTTTCAAACGTTTGACAGATTTCTGTCCACTTAAATTTACTGAGATTTTTGTTTCTTTCATGAAGGACAATTATTTAAGCTGACTTTTTCTCGAGTGATATTTTTAGTTTTTCTGTCATCTGTGCCACAACACTGGGAAGGCTTCCATGATCCCCAGCTGTCAAATTCCAATGGCTTTGGTAATCATTTAATTGTTCATGTCGTGCCATACTAAGATAATTATGTTTTTTTGTCCATCGCTTTATTTGAGGGCCAAATGCCTGGAAAAACAATTACATTCCTAAACATAAGCCAGCCATTTTAATAATCCAATATTAGCATGGAGTGCCCGAGAAAAACAGTCAGCTGCTAAAGTGACTGTTTTTCAGTGCGTTGCATTTAGCTGGGAACTTCTTTATTATTTTATTCCTTGTTTCAGGTCACATCTTTCCTCTAGTTATTATTATTGTTTATCTTCAGAAAATTCCATTCTGAAAATAAAAGAACTGTGACTGCAGGTGCATATTTACTACTGCCAGTGAAAGACTGAGTTGCATCATGGGAAGTGTGGGAGCCAATGTTTCGGAGCTTAAAAGTCCGGATATCTTTTTTATATATGAAGGCTATGTATTAACTGGATCCTGCCCTGCCTGGAAATTGGACATTATGGGAAACAGATGGGGCTTTTCTTTTGCTCAGTCAGTTCCTTCTGGTAATAACAGAGGACAGCCAGTGAATTGAGGAGTGAGGGAAGCCCAACAGATACTCAGTCTGGTTTATCATTCAAGTGTTAGGTCTGCACTGTGATTGCACACCCCAGCCCACTTTTCCAACACGTTGCCCTTTAGAATGAAGGAGTAGAGAAAAAAAGGTGTCGTTAGTGGTTCAAATAAATAATGTTAATATACTGGGGTTCTTAGTCTGGGAATTCTTGCAACACAGGATTTTCCTTGCTGTGCTTTGGTATATTTCGTGTCCTAATGAAAAAGCCTGTGAGTACTCTCCCGATAGGCCCACCGCACGGCGACTTTTACTCCTGTCCAGCACACACACACACACACACACACACACACACACACACACACACCCCATACGGAAGCCTCACGGCTGGACGCTGAACTGGTACATCCTGCTTGGAAACATCCACATAACTTCATTTTTATCTCTTAATAAAAAATATTTACTTTAAGGGGGGTATGAAATGTATTGTGAGTCTCCATAATGTTACCTGTGTCTTCTGGTGATATTACTGCATTCTCTTTAACTGTCACGGTCGAGCCAAAGGCCAAAAAATCTCAGTCAGTGTTGTACTTGCCTTTGTCTAATTAACCCTGACTCTGTTAACTGGTTTACAATGAAGTACTTTATAACTACAGTATTGCAATGTTGCAAAGTCGTGTGTGGCTTACAGGGGCATTAATTGGGGCGGAACTTCCAAGTATAACACGAGCTGAACAAAAACCGCGCAGAAAAGATACCGCACGGTCAGCGATGGGACGAGGGACAAACAGAAACACGATGCCGGTCACTCGTAAAGACACGGGGGGACAAAGCTTGACGTTCCTGATTGCTCTCTAGCATCCCTGAATGCCGTGTTTTCAAACCCTCCAGGAAAAAGACTGTTGGAGGGAGGAAAGTGGGTCTAGAGGAAAGACAGCCGGCTGCAGACAGACACAGAGGGAAGTTTAGTGGGGTGAGAAGCTCCGGCAGGGAGTTACGTAACACACCTGCAAGGAGGGAAATGAGATGACAGGAAAAAGATGGACAGGAAGGAAATAGGAGGGTGACAGACTGAAAGGGAAACAGCAGATTAGTGAACAGACACTGGCCTTACTTTTATTACATCTCATTTTTGTTCTGCCAATTCAAGTTCTTACAACCTCCTTTTAGGGTAAATAAAAAAGGACCGTATGAGCATTTAACGTTAAGTGTCACGTCTGAGATGAATGTGAGAACGAATGTATCTGTAACATTGGCCAATATTTGTATTCCTACTGCGAATGTCTTTCTTGCCATACACCTTTTAAAAAAGGTCCAAAACGACTCAACCTACCTGGAGCCATTGAGGTCCAACGCTGACATTCCACCTCTTTTGTTGTTGCTTGTTTATGTGCAGCCGGAGGAGTTGGAGGCCCTTCATTCCCATACGTTCCGGGTGAAGACTTTCAAGAAGGCCAAGCACTGCGGCGCCTGTCAACAGACCATCAGCCAAGACGGACTCATCTGCCGAGGTCAGTCCCCTGTGTTCCGAAACTCTGATTTACAGATGTACTCTAGGACACGGGGACGTCACAGCTGGGTGTCCGGGGATTATGGGGGCCAGGCAGTGCCCGATCAGAGGGGAAACAGGGGAAACATTCTACCAGAAAGGATGGTAAAAGACTGCATTCTCTCTACTGACCAGCAGAGGACGACTCCTGCGATTGCAAAAACAATTGTCAGACTTTTCAGTTCTATGGGAAATAGTGAGCATACTGTATCACCATACTTGAGGCTTCATAGCGGCAGTCCATAATCCAATGAGGGTACAATGACTATGTCCACTTATTATATACAGTCTATGTTCAAAATGCTCTTTTTTAAGATTGAAATCTATATATCTATTGTTTATTTTAAGACAATGTTGAAATATTGTCACCAATACTCCGTTCCAAAAGCCCTTTTTTTCAATTTAGAAGCCCACTGGGCGTAAAATCGTACCACATCCGTACTGACTTTCAGAGCCTGACGTTCGCTAGGACAATTTAAGCCTAAATGTAATCTCTAATGAATAATTGCTTAAAATTAAGCAATTGAGCAAGACAATAACTATGCAGACTAAACTCAGTTGTTTGATGATGAAGATTCCCAAGTCTCGAGCACTGAGAGCATTTGCACTAACAGCTCTAACTTGTCGGGACAATGAAGGCAATATCTATTACTGCAGCCATCAGTGGTCTGAAAAAGGGGTCATCCGAGGTTACCTGGGGTCGTCTCCGTGTCAGGGTTTAGTCAATTAAGTGACAGGGGAGGGGAAAAGAAAAGGCCAGAGGTGAACAGCTTCTCACTTTCCTTAATGGTGTTTACTGAAAAGAGGCAATGCAGTTGACAATGATGACGATAAGAGATTAGCTTGGTTTGACTGATGCAATCAATTTATAGGATAGAACTGGGTGCATGTTTTTTGTTTCATGGTTCCTGACTAAATGTGGCTTTCTGTTAAACTTTACATGCCGGGAGTCCCAGTATCAAGCAGTTTTTTCTACTGTTTTTAAAAATGTATGTACCCGGTTGGGTGCGACTGAAGTATAATGTTGAACAAAAAGCCGGAAAGCTGGAAAGTGAACGAGATTCATGAATAGACTTTTAACATGGCCACCATTTTCTGAACAGAATGCAGTAAACCCTTTCAGTCTTGTGCTCAAAGGGGGCTGGAACCAAATCAGAGAAAACGTGACCCAGGTCTGCTCAACACATGATGTTGTAGTGGAAATGTCTGGTCTCAGACTGATAACGCGTGAAACCATGCGGAAATGGCTGCATGTTTGGTTTGGCACACCAATATTAAGCTCGCAGCTTCCCAAACCTGACACAGAAGGAGTGGATGTTTGAAGGGCGCAACTTAGAAAAACAAGAGCATTCTCTGCACGCTGCTAACATCTTGGACCCTAAAAGCAATTTAAAACAATGACATTTCATTTTCACACTGTACTGTGTGTAGGCCCATCCTTGGAAAGTGATCAATTTGACAGATTAACACCTATGCATGACCCTGCATGGTTCCATCTGCTCTTGCTACATAGTGCATTTTACCCTCATGTAAAGTCCTTTGCACACTCCCCCACAATCACACCTAAAAGTTTCTCAGTGCAACCTTAGTCTGCCGTGGTTTCCCCTCGATCTGTTTATGTGCCTTGTGCAAGGGCACCTTAGAGATGGTAATGACGGACAGGCAAGTGGTTCATTTTTATTTCTCTGCACGGATTTAACCGGCTGGTCAACGAATCAAACCGACAGCCTCTCTCAAAGTCTGTGCCGCAGGTGCTATACAAATTGGCAAGTGCGACAATATTTAAAATGCTTTGTTTCTTAATTGACTGAAGTGCTTACCCGGCCACATTTTGATATCACTCAGTCTAAGCTGGTAGTTTAGTTGTCTGATTGTCTGGGAAAAGGACAAAAGTACTGACTACAGCCATCACCTCCCTCTTATTCTACTGCCTTAAAGAAGGCCTATAAAATGAAAGCAGTTCACCACCTGCATTTACTCTGCATTTTACTCTGTGATCTAAGTGAGTAAAATGCTTGAGTCCAGATGTGCGTGAGTCCAGATGTTCTTGTTGTTGTGCATTGGGCTTTGAATGACATTACGTCTTTGTTTTATCATAATCAGTGTACTTATTTTGTGTAGCATATCTGTATCAGGTGTAACTTCTGAAGTGACTTCTTTACCATTTCAAACTGTCCTTCAGCCTCTTATTAGCAGTATTCATACCCACAAAACATAAATAAAGAAATCAGCTAAATTCATGGAAAATACATACATCAAATTTTTCAAAGAAAAAGTAATATATATTTTGGTTCCACAAATAACCCTTGCTGTTAAATCACTCTGACAAGTAATGTTCACTTGTGTGTGCAGACAGTCACTTAAACGCTCTCGTAAAATGATACAAGACAGCACCTGGGGCCCACACTTGTAGACCTGATTTATTGGGGAAATAAACCCCAGTGACAAAGCGGCATTTGAGTCTATTCTGATTTAATTGACCCTGGCTTGCTTTTCTCTCTCTAGTCATGCCTATGTTTGGTCATGTGATACGAGCAAACTGTGTGTGTGTGTGTGTGTGTGTGTGTGTGTGTGTGTGTGTGTGTGTGTGTGTGTGTGTGTGTGTGTGTGTGTGTGGCTGTACTGGATTTAAGAGGACAGCCAAGAGTGCTCAACTTCTGATTCACAAAACTCTCATCAGCTGTGGCTTCATGTCCAAGGGATGCCCAGGATAGAATGGGAAGGAATTTTCCCCACTAACTATTTTCCAGGAAGTGAATGAGCTAATGCCACAAAATGTACAGAAGAATCTGGAAAGTTTTATACCCGAGGTCAACGTATAAAGACAGATTTCTGTGACCCCTCCACCCCCTTTAGACAGACAGCCCCTCCCATCTGCTGCCCTTGTTTACAAACATTCTCACATGGTCTCGTAATGACACAAGCACTTGCACTTCCTCTCTCTTTAGCGGTTGCCAGGATACACGGTGTTAGTTACTTTAACAATGGCGTGTTGACGCAAGTCAGCGCCGCAATTTTCCAGTGGAAAAAAAAGGGAATGTTTGGAGGACCGGCCCTGAGGGCAGGAACTGCCTTTCATATTAATTTGCTGTAATGAAGTTGTGGTTGAATGAAGGTTTTGTGTGCAGGGGGCTAAAACCTTATTTCTCTCCTCAGCAGCGTGTGGAATCTGTTTCCTCCTCCTTCCCACAACTGCTGCATGTAGCTTTTGTAAAGAACATCTTACAGTGAAAGGCCATTAATAAACCCGCCTTCAAACAAATCTACAAAGACTGTGCTTTTTCAGTGAAGGGTGCAGCTCCAGCGCTCCGGGGAGGTGGAGGGGGGTAAACACACGCCGGTTTGTCCAGCATGTGTTCAGCGAGGGGGAGGGAAGGTTGTCATTGCTTGCCAGGTGGGTGTTTTTTTGTATGTAGAAATACGTTGGGGTACTCGTCGTGCAGCAAGTACCACGGGCTGTATACTCCATATCACACACACGCTAAAAAGTATGGTGCATGTACAGTGCTCAGGCGCACAGACATAGCGATCCACTCATTGGTGCCTTCCTCGCTTCACCAAGTCATTAGTCCAATAAGAGGAGCAGGTGGATGAGGACGAACATCGGTTTTCTTTGGATGATGGATAGTCACTGTCTCCCAGTCTAACATCATTATCCTAATGCACTAAAGAGACCAGACATTGGCTGTCCACTCAGCCACAGGCTAGAAATTCAGCTTCTTCTTCTTGCTTGAACATGCTTGGGAAACTTTCCACAACCGTCCCGCCTTCAGGTCAGCTTCTCTGACACAATGTCCACTGGCACATCGGTGTCAAACATTCATGGGATTTGTGGTAAGTGCCAAACAGTTCTAACCCAGACCCTGCAACCGCAGCGCTGTTGGTCAATGCATTCAGGCCGCCACCTGTGGGATGAGTTTCAACACTGCAACATGTGTATGTCTCCAGCACATTTGTTTTGTTCACACCGAACAGTAATAGTAGCAGTACACAGACAGTATTTCACTACAATCAACTTTAATTGTTTTGTAATTTAGTTTAAACTCTAAATTATTAAACAATTGTCATACCTTTTCCATGTTGTACACATCGCTTTTAAAAGATTTAATTCTTAATGTTCAAAGTGTATGATTAATCTTGCCAAAAGCAGTGGAGGGTTAGTTTCCTGACAACAGGGAAAAGTTCTCCTGCTGATGAAGACAATGTGATATGATTAAGTCACTGTCAGTAATTGAGTCTTTCATGAGACAGAGTAAGTATCAGTATATTGGTACTTGCCATATGTACAAGTATGCGCTTCAGATGATGTAGTCAAAGTTCTCTCTTTATACTTTATAAGAAATGAAAGATGAGACCCAGATGATCTTGCACTATAATCTGCCAAGCTGCTATTCCTCTGAGCTGTAGCTTGTGTCACAGCCACCAGGAGGCAGCAGAGTCCTTTGTTCCTCACAGAATACTTCTATCCATCTGCAGCGGATTCATTTGTACGCTTCTAAATATTTCAGCACATACCTCACAGTAATTGTCTGTGTATTGGGCAACTGCAGTTTGAATGAAGGGAAACAGCTGCTTAGACTGAACAGAGTCAGACTAAAACCCACCCTTGAGTCATAAAATGGACAGACAGATAAACAAACAGAAGTCATGTTTAGTCAGGTTGAAGCAAACAAATGACAGAGATCACAGAAGGATTCCATGGGAAGTCTTACTCAGGATTTAATCTGCTGTCCCGCAATGTGTTCGGGGGAATCTCCCATGTTAGGAAAGCCTTAGCAGCTGGATGAAGGTGGGGTCGGACCCACAGAAAGCCAACACTGCAGGGACTTTAGTTGGGAAAATGCGTGGGCTGAATGATGACATCCCTGTTTCAGTCTGATGATGGATAATTCATTAATAACATTATCACAGAAGAGAGACACCACAGAGCGTGTAGGCACATGAAACTTATTTATTTTTCAG